AAAGTCAAAAATTCCTTGAATCAAACGAGAATGAAAACACAGCATACCAAAATCTTTGGGGCACAGCAAAAGCAGTGATCAGAGGCTAATTTATAGCAATAAATGCACACATTAAAAATGGAGAAAGAGCCAAAATCAACACCTTAACCCAACATCTCCAACAATTAGAAAAAGAGTGTGTGTGTGGGGGAAGCCTACAGTCACCAAAGAAAGGAAATAAAAGATTTGAGCAGAAATCAATGAAACAGAAAATAGAAGGGCAATAGAAAAAATCAACAAGACTAGAAGTTGATTTTTTGAAAAGATTAATAAAATTGACAGAGTACTGGCAAATTTAACAAAGGAAAAGAGGGAGAAAATACAAATAACATGAATAAGAAATGAAATGAGTGACATCACAACAAAAGCAACTGAAGTAAAAAGGATAATATCAGGATACTATGAAGAACTGTGTTCCAACAAATTTGAAAATCTGGAAGAAATGGACAGATTTCTAGAAACACACTACTTACCTAAACTAACAAAGACTGAGGTGGAAAAGTTGGACAGACCTATTTTGAAGAAATTGAGCAGGTCATACAAAAATTACCAACAAAAAAAAGTCCTGGCCCAGACAGTTTCACAGAGAATTCTACTAAACATTCAGAGAAGTACTGACATCAGTCCTACTCAAACTATTCCAAAACACAGAAAAGGATGGAATCCTCCCAAATTAATTTTATGAAGCAAGCGTAACCTTGATACCAAAACCAGGCAAAGACATCACTCAAAAGGAAAACTACAGACCAGTATCCCTCATGAATATAGATGCAAAAATCTTCAACAAAATCCTAACCAATAGATTCCAACAACATACCAAGAAAATAATTCATTATGACAAACCGAAAACCAAACTCACTGCCGTTGAGTCGTATCTGACTCATAGCAACCCCTCCTTGGGTTTCCAAGGCGGTATCACTACAGAAGTATATTGTCCAACCATTATGACCAAGTGGTGTTCATATCAGGTATGCTAGGGTGGTTCGACATTAGAAAAACAATCAGCATCATCCACCACATAAATAAAGAACCACATGATCATATCAATTGATACAGTGAAGCCATTTGATAAAATCCAACACCCATTCCTGATCAAAACTCTCAGCAAAGTAGGACTAGAAGGGACGTTCCTCAACGTAATAAACGGTGGATATGCAAAACCAACAGCTAACATTTTCAATGGAGAGGTACTGAAACCATTCCCTTGCAAACAGGAACCCAGACAAGGATGTACTCTGTCACCACTTCTCTTCAACATTGTATTGGAAGTCCTGGCCAGGCCAATAAGGCAAGAAGGGGAAACCAAAGGCATCCAGATTGGAAGGAAGAAGTCACACTATCCTGTTTGCTGATGACATGATCCTATACCTAGAAAACCCAAGAGACTCCATCAAAAATCTACTGGAACTAATTGAGAGATTTACCATCGTGTGGATACAAGATCAACATCCAAAAATCAGTTGGATTCCTCTACACCAGCAAAGAGGTTGCTGAAAAAGATATGAGGAAATCAATACCATTTACAATGTTGTTGTTGTTGTTATGTGCCGTGGAGTCGGCCCCGACTCATAGCGACCCCTCCTTGGGTTTCCGAGGCAGTATCACTACGGAAGTAGGATTGCCCAACCTTCCTTCCGAGGAGTGGCTGGTGGGTTTGAACCACCAGCCGTCTGGTTAGCTACCCCAAAAATAAAATACTTGGGAATAAATCTTACCAAGAACACGGAAGTCCTGTACACAGAAAAACTTTTTAAAAGACTACTTCAAGAAACCAAAAGTGATCTACATAAATGGAAGAACATACTGTGCTCGTGGATAGGAAGATTGAACATTGTGAAAATGTCAGTTCTACCCAAAGCAATATATATATATATATTCAATACAATCCCAATCCAGATCCCATCAACATTCTTTAAGGATATGGAAAAACCAATGACTAACTTTATATGTAAAGGAAAGAGACCGCGGATAAGCAAAGCAATATTGAAGAAGAACAAAGTAGGAGGTCTCACACTGCCAGATCTCAAAACCTACTATACAGCCACGGTAGTCAAAACTGCCTGAATTGGTACAGTGACAGACACATACACCAGTGGGATAGAATTGAGAACCCAGAAATAGATCCATTGACCTATGGTCATCTGATCTTTGACAAAGGGCCGAGATCCATTAAATGGGGAAGAGAATGTTTGTTTAATAAATGTTGCTGGCAAAACTGGATATCCATCTGCAGAAACATGAAACAAGATCTGTACCTCCCACCATACCTACAAACTAACTCCAGGTGGAACAAAGATTTAAATGTGAAACCTAAAGCTGCAAAATTCCTCAAGAAAAACTAGGGGCAAATTTAGGGGCCCTAATATATGGCATAAATAGATTATGAAGCATAACCCAAAATGCACAAACGGAAGATAAGCTAAATGAATGGGACCTTCTAAAAATAAAATTTTTATGTGCTTCCAAAGACTGCGTCACAAGAGTCGAAGGAGAACCTATAGATTGGGAAAAAGTATTCAGCCATGACATATCTGACAAAGGACTAACCTCTAGAATTTATAGAAAACTCCAGCACCTCAACAGCAAAAAACCAGATAATCCAATTAAAAATGGGCAGGAGACAGGAATAGATACTTCACTAAAGAGGATATTCACGTGGCCAACAAACATATGAACAAATGCTCATGATCATTACCCATTAGAGAGATGCAAATCAAAACAACAATGAGTTTCCATCTTTCCCCCTAGCACTAGTAGCAAAGTTCAACAAGACAGAAAATAATAACAAATGCTGGAGGGGATGTGGAGAGATTGGGACTCTCATACACTGCTAATGGAACTGTCAAATGGTACAACCACTGTGGAAAGCAATATGGCGATTCCTTAAAAAGTTGGAATTAGAAATACCATTTGACCTAGCCATTCCATTACTTGGTGTATTTCCTAAAAAAATGAGAGCCAGGACAAGAACAGATAAATGGACATCCATGTTCATTGCAGCACTATTTACAGTAGTCAAAAGATGGAAACAACCTAGGTGCCAATCAGCAGAGGAATGGATAACCAAACTATGGTACATAGACAAAATAGAATACTGTACAACCCCAATGAATAATGTAGAATCTTCAAAACACCACATAACAAGGATGAACTTGGGGGACATTATGCTGAGTGAAATAAGTCATTCACAGAAGGACAAATACTGTATTAGTCCGCTATTGTAAAAAGTCAAGGAAAGGTTTATATATGGAAGGAAATTTTCTTTGTTGGTTACTGAGTGAGGAAGAGAGGGCAGGGAACACTGTTAGATAGATAGGTAGAGACAAGTATTGATACGGGTGAAGAGAAGGGCAGTGTACCAAATGTGAGTGATCCAACACGGTGGCATTGAGGAAGAGGAAGACAGAGAGAGAGATGCATGGGATGTACAGACAACAAAGATGAACCCTTTTGCACATACAGTACTGCATTGTCAGTGAAGGCAAACATTGATATATAGTGGATAGATAGGTGGACAGTCTGAACTATTAGGTATGACTATGCAGGGGAGAGTGTGCCCAACCCATATATAGAGTTGGCAGACAATGTTTCTAGAAGTGTAATCGTATGTTCTGAAGAATTCCCAGGTATTCTGACAATGGACAAGGTTGTAGTCATTTCTTGGCCACAGCCAGCTACCCAGAGTGAGTGAGTATTTGGACCTGTGGGCTTGGGACCATAGTTGCAGGGGACGTCAAGCTCAATTGGCATTACATTCTACACAGAACATTGTTCCACCTTCTACTCTGGTGAGTAACGACTGGCATCTTAAAAGCTTGCAAGCAGCCATCTAGATGCAACGATGGGTCTCTCCTCATCCAGAGCAAAGAAGAGTGAAGAAGAAAGATGCATGGAAACAGTTCAAGGGACTGGTATGCCTTGCAATCCTCAGCCTGTAGGACTGTGAGACCAGAAGAACTAGATGATGATGCCCAGCTATCACATTCAACCAGTTGGAAGGGAATCTATGTAGGAGATCCTGGATAGAGTGGGAAAATAATGTGGAACAAAACACAAAATCATTAAAAAAATTAGAAAAAAGAAAAAGGGGGACCAGGTTTGCTGGTCTCATAGAGCCTGATGGAACTCCTGAGAGTATGGCCCCTAGCTGCCCTTCAGGTCTAGAGCTGAACTTACTCCTGTGGCTTCCAGCCAAACAAAAGACAGGGATTTCAGCTGAACATTTACATTAGATGCACATTAGATAACATTCCTTGGAGAGCACTATCCTGGGAGAGTACAAGGGCTGTATGTGCACAGGGAAACACCTCACCTGGTGGGAGTGCATGGAGGGAAGGACACAGGAAAGAGGTAACTATGGGGAGTAAGTGTGACGGGGAGCTGTTGCATTGTGGGAAATTGCAGTGAATGTTGTGAAACAAAGTGTATGTGAGGTGCTGTATGCAAAGTGAATTTGTTCTGTAAACATCACCCAAATCACAATTAAAAAAAAAAAATGAGGTAGTTCATCCCTGGAATATAGAGACAAAAATGAGAGCGTGTGCTTTAAATTTCAAATTTATTTTACTACTTCCTTAAGGTCCTTTGGTGATGCAAATGGTTAACTCAGCACTCAGCTCATAACCAAAAGGTTGAAGTTTTGAGTCCAACCACAGTCACCTAGGAAGGAAGGCCTGACAATCTGCTTCTGAAAAATCAGCCATTGAAAACCATGTGGAGTGCAGTTCTGTTCTGACAGACATGACATTGCCATGAATTGCCATCAACTGGACAGCAGTTGGTTGGTTAGGAATATGAAATGCATCTGTATGTATTAGCACAGAATACATGGCATAGTGATCATTTTATCCTCTGAAAATGAATACACAATTTGTTTAAAGAAAAAAATTAATGTCATTAATTTTCAGTGTCTGAATGAAGAGGTATTTTTCAATGTAATTTTATTTATTTTTTTCTTACAGTAATCCTAAATTGGAAAGTCAGAGAGTAAATAAAAAAGTTAACAATGATGCATCACTTAGAATTCATAATCTGTCCATTTTGGTGAAACAGATAAAGGTTTATTACCAGGTAAGTGCTCTGTTTTTTTAATCTAGTATTTTAATAGCTACTTACATTTTTAATGTTATTTAGTATCAATTATTTCACAAATATTAAATGCTTATTATGTACCAGGTACTTGTCCAATAAGGAGCCCTGTTGCACAGTGGTTAAGCACTTACCTGCTAACCAAAAGGTTGACAGTTGGAACCCATCAGCTATTCTGATAGAGAAGAATGTGACAGTCTGTTTCCATAAATATTGCAGACTTGGAAACCCTGTGGGGGGCAATTCTACTCTGTTGTAGGGTTGCTGTGAGTCAGAAACTGATTTGATAGCACACAACAATAACAACTGGTCTGTTTGCTGAGATAGAATAATAAATGTATTAGCTTATTTCTCATGACATATTAAAGATACAAGCAAGCATTCTTATCTTTTTCTAAAACCAGTTCCCAGTTTCATGAAAACTGCATTTCGTTAACCTACTTGAATTATGCCTTGTATTCACTCCTTTCTTTTTAAGCTTAAAATAGATGATTATTTTAGTTTTTAAATATGAAGATTGTTAAAACTATTAATGTACCTCTAAGAATCACTGTAGCTCTGTTGCAAACATTTTGGTATGATGTACATTAGAAAATTTTTATTTTCAAAATACTCTAATTTGTGTTATGACTTCTTATTTCACTCATGAATTATTTAGAAGTTGGCTTTTAAGTTTCTAAATTTATGGTATTTTTCAAGTGATCTTTTAAAATTCTTGACCACATAATATGGTCTGTATGATACTGATTGTTTGATCTTTGTTAATAAGTACTTGTCTTGGCCTACTATATTGTCAGTTTTCGTTAAATTCCGTGTATGCTTGAAAACATGTATTATCCAATTGTTTGGGTTCATAGTTAGAGCAAGCCACTCCATGGAAGGAAGACCGGGCAATCTGCTTCCATAAAGATTTACCACCTCAGAAACCTAAAGGAGGTCTCTATAAGTCAGAATCAACTTGTTGGCAGTGATGTTTGTTAATTCTAGGATTCAAATCTTTTTCATCCTTATTAATTTTGTTATTGAGCTATCATTTATTGAGAAAGGTAAGTTGAAACCTCCGATTATGATGATAAGATTTGTCAAGTGTTCTTTCTATACTTTCAAGCTATGTTATTGGGTACAAATGAGTTTAAAATTGTTAAGTCTTTTTGGAGATTGAAACATTTATTATAGTTATGTAGTGACTCCCTGATGAGTTTGGAAGTCTTTTTTCCCCTACTGGCTAAAAATTTTTCTGCTTATTTAGGAGCCACTCAGAAAATTATACCTTTCATATTTAACATAGCAAAGACTCAAATTTATCAGTATCTCTACCAGTATATGGACTAGGAGTTTGACCTTATCAGAATACTTTAACTCGAGGTTTTTTTTTTTTTATTTTAAACCTGTTTATGATTTTAAAACTAATCCTGTATTTCAATTCTCTTTTTGTTAACCCCATAAATGAGGTATTAAAAGTACTGTTCAGTAATAAAATCATTGTTTCGTTAATAAAGCTACATGTTTTCCTTTCCCCTTCCCACTCATGCTTTTCTCTTCTATCTCAGACCTTCCTTTAGTATCATTGTCTTCTGGAAATACATTCTTTAAACATTATAGAGCAGTTTTTGGTAGCAAAGCTTTTCAATATTTATTTGTCTGAAAATGTCTTTATTTCACCCTTGTTCTTAAAAGATAATTTTGCTGGGTATACAGTTCTAGGTTGGCGATTATTTTTCTCTCATTGCTTTGGAGATTTTATGCATCTGTCTCTGGTTTCTTTTTGCTCTGGAGAAGGCAGCTGTCAGTCTGTTTTTTTTTTTTTTTAATATTTAATTTAACTGACTTTTTTTTTTTTCTCTTTGGGCTGCTTTGCGTCTTATGTTTTCTCTGTCCTATCCTATTCTATTAATCTGATCTCCTTCCGATATCTCTGTTAGATATGTATTAGACTTTCTTGCTCTGTCCTCCATTTTGTTAAACTTTATTTTATATTAACAATCTCTGTGTTGCATTCTGAGTACTTTTGTTCAGAGCTCTCTCTTATTTATCAGTAGGCCCCTCATCTGTATTAAATAATCTGTTTTCAACCATTGATTGACTTTTGGCTCTCAGCAATTACATCTTTCATGTCTAGAAGTTCTGTTTGGTTCTTTTTATATCTGCTTTTTTGTTTTCTTCACTAATCATTTTTTTAATACTTTCATTTCTTCAGAAATTTGAAGTATTTTTTATTTTAGATTTTGTATCTAGGAATTTCAAATTTTGAAATCTTTGGGGATTTGATTCTGCTCTTTGTTTTTGCTTGCTTTTGTGGTGGCAGCAGTGGCGCAGTGGTGGGATGTGTGTATTTGTTTTCATTGTGAGCTCTTTTTTTTTTTTTTTTTTGATTTTATTTGTGGGAATTCTTTGGGCTGTGAGCCAGAGAAGTATATCTTCCTAGAGGATTTATTTCCTTTTGTACAACCCACCCAGGACCCCTTTTAATTGAATTTATTTTAAATAGCTTTGTATTATTTTAGATGCAGTACTTGTACACTGTAGAATATTAGGAAAAAATAAGAGAAAACAAATATCATAGTTTCAGTGACTGGGTATATTACCACTTGTATTAGTTTCCTAGGGCTACTGTATGTAATAGATCACCACAAAGCTGGATAATTTAAACAAAAGAAATATATTTTCTCACAGTTCTTGAAGCTGGAAGTTCAAAATCAAGTTGTCACCAGGCATGTACTCCCTCCGAAAGCTCTAGAGAAGAATCTGTCCCTTGTTTCCTCCTAGCTTCTTTTGATCACTGACAATCCTTGGTGTTTCTTGGCTTGCAATTGATTCACTCTAATCTCTACTTCAGTCGTTTCCTCTTGTGTCTCTAAATCTCTCTCTATTGATAAGGACACTTCATTGGATTTAGAGCATACCCTTTACCACTGGGACCTCATCTTAACTTGATTATATCGGCAAAGAATCTGTCTTCAAATGAGGTCCCACTCACAGCTACCGGGAGTTAGGACTTCAACATATACTTTTGGGGGACACAGTTCAACCCATAACACCACTGTTAGCACCTGAACATACATACTTTTGGATCTTCTTCTCTACATTTGTATGTGTGTGCCCATATTTTTTTTTTACTAGGACTATATTACTACAAATCATCAAGAAAATAACTTTTTCAGTCCCCTCCAAACACTAAGAAAGAAAGCTTCTCGCCTTCTTTTGTAGTGTTCAATTTTGTTTGTTTCATCTTGAATGGTAAAGTTTTACTTCACAAAAGATTTTTTTAATTGTACAGTAATTTTAGATTTCTTTCTTTATCAGTATTTTTGAAATAAAACTCTATATTTTAAGCAAAAGACTAGATTAAATGTTGTTAGTTGCTGTCAAGTCGGCTCATTTTGTGGCTCGTTTTGACAGTCTTCATCAGTTTTTGTCTTTCTGATTATTGGAATTATGCTAGATTTTTGGTTTCATGGTATCTTTAGGCAAATAGAAGTTCCCCTCAGAAATGTCATCGAATTTCCCTTAGGAAAAAAGAAATAAAAGGCAAAGGGATTTCTGTATCAGATTTTTATATCAGTTATCAGTGCAACCTAACTCTAAATTAATGTACTACTGGTTTCTTTGTTTTTTAACAGTGTTATTGTGGGATAATTGACAGACCATACAATGTACCCTTTTTTTTTTTTAAAGACTTACTGATGTTAATTTCCATGTAGTAAAATTTTTGGCAAAGGATATTGAACATTTCCTTCACTTCAGAAAGGTCCCTCATGTTTCTACCACCAACCTTGTCAACCATGATCTGATTAATATCCCTTGTAGTTTTGTCCTTGTATTTCTTCTTTCACTTAGCAGAATGCTTTTGAGATTCATCAGGTTGTTGTATGTTTTAGAAATTTGCTCAGTGATTTGTTGGTAGACATTTTACAACTTGCTTCCCCCGCCCCCGCCAAAAAAAAAAACCTGATTTGTGCCTTTTCTTTTTTTTGGTATTGTTGTCAGTATGCTTTCACTGTGGCCTATCTTAAGCCACATAAACCAGCTCATAAAATCTCCGAAAATTTAACATTGGTTTTTTATGACCTAGTACCTGCCAGCTCCAGCACACCATTGAATTTGTTCCTTTTTATTGAGAGTACCACCATATGACAATTATAAATAAAGTTGCTATAACCATGTATACACAGGTCTTTGTGAGGGAGAAATGTTTCAGATTTCTAGAGTTAATACAGAGGTGGTTGTTGTTGTTATGTGCCGTTGAGTTTGAGCCAACTCATAACGACCCCTCCTTGGGTTTCCGAGGCTGTATCACTACGGAAGTAGATTGCCCAACTTTCCTTCCTAGGAGTGGCTGGTAGGTTTGAACCACCAGCCTTCTGGTTAGCAGTCAAGTGCCTTAGGCACTATGCTACCAGAGCTCCCTAATACAGAGGAGTGGGAGGGATTGCACAGTCCTATAGAAGTGTTTGTTCACTTTATATAGAACTGCCGAACTATTTTCTAAAATGGCTATAACTTTTTTTTTGTATTCCCACCAGAAATGTATGAGAGTTCTAGTTGTTTTACATACTCACCAGCTCTTGTCATTGTGTTTTATAAGTTTTAGTGATTTATTATATGTATAGTGGTCATTTTAACATTTTTAACTTCTTGGTTCTTTTTAGTCATTTGGACTTAAAAAGGAAGCTTATGAAAGACGTGTCTAAAGAATTAGTTTGTTTTCTTCTCGTGCTCATTAGTCATAAGCTCACTATGAAGGGTCCATCTCTTCAAGGATATTTCTTGAGTTTCTTATTGTACAGTTTCCTTTCATGATATTTAAAATGTGTATTTTTAAAGGAGTCACCATTAGTGGATTATTTTGCAGCTTACTACTCATTGCCATCGAGCCGGGTCTGACTCATAGTGACCCCTCCTTGGATTTCCAAGGCAGTATCACTACAGAAGTAGATTGCTCAATCTTCCTTCCGAGGAGTGGTTGGTGGGTTTGAACCGCC